CTCTTGCTTGTTTTTTATTTCTTTTCCTTCAGCCGTTAGTAACCCTCGCTCCCTGTAAATGGCCCCATGTATGTGCGCCATAGCAAAAGCATAGCGGCTGTCTGTGTATACTGTCAGTTTCTTCCCTGCCCCTAAGGTAAGAGCTCGGGTGAGCGCTATCAGTTCGGCCTTCTGGGCCGATGTTCCCGGGGGCAGGGGTTCCGCCCAAATTACCTCAGTCTCTGAAGTTACTGCTGCTCCAGCGTACCTCTGGCCTTGGTGTATGAAGCTGCTCCCATCAGTGAACCAGACTAGGTCAGCGTCCGGAAGTGAGCGGTCCTGCAGGTCCTCTTGAACTCCGTGCACCTGAGCTAGTATCTTGGTGAAATCATGGAGTGGCACATCCAGGTCTGGGTTGGGCAGCAGCGAGGCAGGGTTTAAGGTCGTTGGGGGCAGGAAGGTTATCCTGATAGGATTATAGTAGTAGTCCTTGGTAGTGGGTGAGCTGGGCGTTACCTATCCATCGATTAGGTGGCTGTTTGAGTACACCCTCGATGGCATGTGGGGTAATGACCCGTAATTCTTGCCCCATGACAAGTTTATCAGCATCTTATACCATCAGGGCCGTGGCTGCAATCATTCGGAGACAAGAGGGCCACCCGGCAGCCACTGGGTCTAATTTCTTTGACAGGTAGGCAACCGGCCTCCGCCAGGGGCCTAAGTTCTGAGTTATTACCGCCTTGGTGACACCCTTGCTCTCGTCCATGTATAAGTGGAAGGGCTTGGTGACATCAGGTAGTCCCAGTGCAGGCGCAGAGAGTAGGGTGGTTTTGATCTGTTGGAAAGCCGACTCGGCTTCTTCTGTCCAATTAAATGGCTGCTGCCCCCGTGTTGCCTGATACAAGGGTTTAGCCAGCTCTGCAAACGCAGGTATCCATAGTCTACAAAATCCCGCCGACCCCAGGAATTCCCTTACTTGTCGGATGGATTGTGGCCTGGGGATCTGCAGAACAGTCTGCTTCCGGGCGTTTGTTAACCAGTGCTGCCCTCCTTTTAGCAGGTACCCCAGATATGTCACTTCTGATTTACAGATTTGAGCTTTCTTTGCCAAGGCTCGGTAGCCTAGATTCCCTAGAGCTTGTAAGAGACCCTTGGTCCCTTGAATACAAGCTTCTTGGGTCTCAGCAGCAATCAGGAGGTCATCAACATACTGTAGTAAGGTTATTTCAGGGTGTTTGCGTCAGTACTCACCCAGGTCTTCATGGAGGGCCTCGTCGAACAGGGTAGGAGAGTTTTTGAATCCCTGCGGCAGTCTGGTCCATGTCAGTTGGCCACTTATGCCCCTCTCAGGGTCAGTCCACTCGAAGGCGAAGAGCTTTTGGCTCTGAGGGGCTAAAGGCAAACTGAAGAAAGCATCTTTCAAATCTAAAGCAGTGTACCATTGATATTTAGGGTTTAGGGTACTCAGGAGGGTGTACGGGTTAGGCACGGTTGGGTGTATGTCCATAACCCTCTTACTGACTTCTCTCAAGTCTTGTACAGGTCTGTATTCTCCGCTATTAGGTTTTCGTACCGGCAACAATGGAGTATTCCAGGGTGAGTGACATGGGCGAAGGACCCCTTGGTCGAGGAGCCGGCGAATATGTGGTGCAATCCCTTCTTTGGCCTCTAGGGGCGTCGGGTATTGGCGTACCCTCACGGGGTCTGCCCCAGGCTTAAGTTCAACAAATAAGGCAGGACGGTGTTTTGCTAGACCTAAGCCCCCTGTTTCCGCCCAAGCTCCTGGATATTGTTGGAGCCAGGTTGCTATGTCCTGGTCAGGGGCCGTTCGCTCCTGGTGGAGCTGGTATTCATCTTCTAGGGTTATAGTCAGGACAGACACGGGCTGACTTTGGGAGTTGGTCACGACGGGCCCCTCAGGGAGGAAATGGATCTGTGCTCCCATTTTAGTTAGCAGGTCTCTCTCTAGTAGGGGACAGGGGCTCTCAGGGATAACCAGGAAAGAATGGGTTACATTCCTGGCTCCAAGGTTTACTGTTCTTTGTGTTGTCCAGGGGTATTTCTTAACTCCTGTGGCCCCTTGCACCCACAAGGACTTGGAGGATAATTTTCCATTAGTTTTAACTAGGACCGAGTGCTGTGCTCCTGTATCGACCAAGAACTGGACTGGGGACCCCTCCACTTGTAAAGTTACCCTAGGTTCGGGGAGGGGGTCCGAACCCCATCTTCCCTAGTCTTCATCTTGAGTGACTAGTACGGGTGTAGACCTAGGGGGTCCCTGTCCTCGTTGTTTCTTTTTGGGGCAGTCTCTTATCCAGTGACCAGCTTCCTTACAGTATGCACATTGGTCTTTGCTCAGATTATCATGTCTGGGGGACCGCCTAGGTTGGGTGTTCTCTGGCTGTAGATGCTCTTTCTGTACTACTGCTGCCAGGACCTTGGTCATTTTTTCAGTGGCTTTAAATTGCCTTTCCTCTGGAGTATCTCTGTTATTGTAAACCCGCTGGGCTATCTGAAGGAGGTCCTGAATCCGCTTTCCCTCCAAGTCTTCTAATTTCTGGAGTTTCCTTTTAATGTCTGGGGCCGCCTGATTTACGAAAGACATTACAACAGTTGCCTGACTTCCTGGAGCCTCTGGGTCTATGGGGGTGTACTGTCTAAAAGCTTCCATTAATCTTTCTAAGTAGGTAGCTGGGCTTTCTGCCTTTCCCTGCAGAACAGAGTATACTTTAGCCAAATTAGTGGGCTTGCGAGCAGCCGCCCGGAGACCCGCCATTAGAGTCTGGCGATAAAGGCGTAGCCGTCCCCTACCTTCTGCCGTGTTGTAGTCCCACGCCGGCCTGGTCAGAGGAAAGTTCGCGTTTATGAGGTCGGGGTTGGCAGTCGGTTGACCGTCGTCCCCCGGGACCAGCTTTCTAGCTTCTACCTGTATTCTCTCTCGCTCTTCCGTGGTAAACAAGATTCGGAGGAGCTGCTGACAATCATCCCAAGTGGGCTGGTGGGTGAACATGACACTATCCAGTAAAGCCAGTAAATCTTTGGGGTTGTCTGAAAACCAAGCACTCTGAGTCTTCCAGTTATACAGATCACTGGTGGAGAATGGCCAGTACTGGAGCCTGGGGATTCCTGTGTCATCTGGGGGTCCTATTTCCTGAAGGGGTAAAGCCACCGTGGAGTCAGGCGGCTGGGGGGGCTAGTCCGCGAAGTGCACCCTCGCGTCCGCCCCGCCGGCCCTTCAAAGTTACTTTCCCTTTCAGCGGGCCCATGTGTGCCGGCCGCCTCCCGTCTGCCTGCTCCCTCCCGCGGCTCAGCCCAGGGGGTGGGTCCGGGTGCGTCGGCCGCCTCCCTTCCACCTGCTCCTTCCTGCAGCTCAGCCCGGGGGGCTGGGGCCTGGGGCCCGGAGGGGTACGGAGGGGGTTCTGTGAACAGTGGGTCCCTGCTATCAGGTAGAACAGGATTGAGGGGGGCAGTTGGTTGCTTGGGTCTTAGTGGTCGGGCAACCAGCACCTTACAGGGTTCAGAGGCTAATTGGAAAGGGGACAGCCAAGGAGGCGGGTTTTCAACAAGGTCCTGCCATATGAGGATATATGGGATTTGATCTAAGTGGCCCGCACGCCCAGGTAGGAAAATCTTGGACTTTACTCTAGTGATGACAGCAAGTCGGAAGGTCCCTTTGGGTGGCCACCCCACATCAAAGGCAGGCCATTCGGAGCGACACAGAGTAATTAGCTTTCCTTTCCTGATTTCTATACCAAGATCTTGGCCACTTGCTCTAACTTCTTTGAAATTATTTGAAAGGAGAGATAGAGGAGTGCTCTGGGTATTACCCATCCTGTAATGATTTGTAGTCTCTTCCTGTAAAGGAATGTGAGTTAGAATCCCTGTAAAGGAAATCTGATCTGACTTATTAATGATATCTAGTCGCAGGCGCGCTTTGGCAGCCTGGGTCAGAGACAGTTGCTGCCTAGATCGCAGACACGCTCGGGCACCCCAGATCAAAGACGGCTGCTGCCCAAAACGATCGCAAGCGCGCACCGGAGGCCCGGGTCAGAGTTAGCCGCCTGGATCGCGATCGCGCTCGGGCAGCCCAGATCAAAGACAGCTGCTTCCCAAACCAGGGCAGTTCAGATCGCAAGCACGCACCGAAAGCCCGGGTCAGAGTTAGCTGCCTGGATCGCGATCGCGCTCGGGCAGCCCAGATCAAAAGACAGCTGCTGCCCAAACCAGGGCAGTTCAGATCGCAAGCGCGCACCGGAAGCCCGGGTCAGAGTTAGCTGCCTGGATCGCGATCGCGCTTGGGCAGCCCAGATCAAAGACAGCTGCTGCCCAAACCGGGGCAGTTCAGATCGCAAGCACGCACCAGAAGCCCGGGTCAGAGTTAGCTGCTTGGGTCGCAATCGCACTCGGGCAGCCCAGATCAGAGACAGCTGCTGCCCAAACCACAAACGCACTCGGGGCAGTTCAGATGGCAATTTAGATCAGACGAGAGCCAGGGGACGTCTCCCACCGGTCTCCACTGGCCGTCCTATAGCGCGTCCGCCAGGACTGTGCCAGCTCCAGTTTCAGACCTCGCGAGTCACAGATTCAGATTCAGAACAGACACAGACAGACAAACGGAGACGAGCCAGCTCACCTATCAGTAGATCGATCCTAGCAGATCCGTTGACCAGGGGTCTGGTGGGCTTGGGGAATCCCGGACGGGCCCCCAGATGTTGTGCCCAGACCGTTTGTTCCCCAAAGAACACCACCAGAGTCCAGAGTCAAAGCCAAGCGGCAAGGATCTTTACTACAAGTTCGAACCTGGTCCCTCCATTCCACAGCATACAAGAGGGCCCCGAACAATGCGAGTGTTTGCTTTTATAGCCCGAAAGTTACAGGGGAACAAAGAAATTCTTTTGGCTCCCGCGCTTTCAGTGGAACCTTGAACGGCTGTCTCCTTATCGGAGGCTTTCCAGGTGGTGTTTATACTGGGCTCAGGAAGTTTGAGAGATACATGGCGATATGTGGTGGGATGGGAGGATGGGATGTGTTTGTACTGGGTTTATTTGTTTTGAGCCCAGGGCTGAGGAATGTGCCTGATTTCTTTTCAGTAACTATATCCATCTTGACTCTGAAGGTTGACAGCTGCCACATAGCCCTGGGACCTGTGAGATCCAGTTATTCCCAACGCATTTAAATTTTCTATTGAGTGACTGTGGCTCTCAGTATAAGCTTCCGCCTACAGAGAAAGTTATTCAAGGATGCTGGGCTCCCCTCACAAATCAGTTTCTTAAAGTATTGCTGAAAGGTGAGTAGATTTCAAATGACAAACGCACTCTGGAGTTCCATTTGTTCTAAGCCTTTGAGTCTCTCCTTCTGTGTTAGGCCAAGGGAGATCAGGCACATCCAACTAGCTAAATAAGAGCCATCTTTTGATTCATGGTTTAGCCAACCAACCAAACTGTTAGGGCCGTTTCTAATTTCCCATGCTGCAAAACTAAAAGCAGTATCTTTTTTAATGTGTCCGTATCAATAAATCTGGGTGATCCAACTTTATGTTTCCTCCACTATTATCCCAACTCTTAATATCCTTTCCCACACATGTTCTCCAGATTACTGCTTGTATAAATTATAAACTCAAATTGTTTTCTTGAACTGTCGTGGACCTCCCATGGGCCAAACTTTGTATATCATTTTTTAAGGGCCTTGTGAGATTTGAGTCTACTTAAATGGCCTTTTGAGATTTGAGTCTACTTACAGGTCTAGAAGCAAAAAGGAGTGGTGGGTGTGGGGCCTTAGGAGAATCAGCATTACATTCCTCAGCAACTGCCTCAGGGGAGTCCATTACCTTTCCCTCAGGCAATGCTGGCGTAATCCCTTCAGACAGAGGTGGAACCACCTATACCAGTGTGGGTGAAGAGGTTACTGCCAAGAGGGTGTCAGTAGGGGTCAGGTCTGCCGGCAAAGAAACCATCAGAATTTCAGAGCTCAATGTCTCCAGCCTCAACATGGTCTCTCCAAATGTTCCCAACCCAATCTACAGGGTTCCATTCTTTTCTGAACAGTGCTGTAAATTTACAGTAGATACCTTGCTAGGCTGAAAGTTCAACTTTCATAGTAATTCAGCCAACTCATGGTGAGGATTTGTGTTTGCCTTTTAGCATTTTCAGCCCTGTGACTATAGGAGATATAATTCTAACTCAGAGCACTGTAAGATGCTCTAAGGATTTTTATGTGAAGCCGAATTCTGAAATTTGAATCTCTTAGCTTATCTTTTTTTATCAATCACTTTACTCATCAACGCTTGAAGCAGAGTCCTTGATTTTCCACCGATGTTTAAAGATGTGTCGTCAGAGTCACCAAGTTCCTTGTCTTTTATTCATGGTTGATTAGGAGTGTGAAAGGTAGATGTTTGTATATCTCTTAAGCAGTTTATGATATGGACTAGCAATGTTCTCTGGACTATTAGAAATGGATTCTTTAGCATTTTTAGGTTTCATCAATTTAGAAATCTAATTTTAGAAACCCCAAAACCAATGAAAGAAACTCATTCCTAAAATTCTGGTTCTCTACAATCATTCATGGTTTAAAAAATAAAACCTGTTTTAACATTCTTCAGAGACACAAGACCTATAGGATACATATATAGACAGACAGATTGGGGGAGCATTAATTAGGTAAATTGGATCACATGCTTATGGAAGCCAAGACAGGTCTTCTGCAAGCTATAAACCATGGAGTACCAGTAGCATGGCTCATTCCAAGGCTGAAAGTCTCAGAATGAGGAAAGCTGACAGTGTAATTCTCAGTCTGAGGCCAAAGGCCTGAGAATGTGGAGGGATGCAGAGGTAAGTCCTGGAGTCCCAAGGAAGAGAATCTGTTGTTAAGATGTCCAAGGGCAGGAGGCAGAGAGTGTACCAGCTCTAGGAGAGAGGGAGACCAAAATCATTTTCACTATTTTTTCATTCTCTCAGGGCCCCCAGCCCACTGGATGGTGCCTACCAACATAGAGGGTGGATTGTTATAGAATTCAACTCAGGTCTGCTCACGCAGTGCAGTGAGACTGATATCTACACTGACATTTGCAGTAGGAGAAAAGGAGGTGTTTATCTGGACATTGTCAAACAAGGCAGATGAGGCAGCTGATGCTTAAGTTCCCACTTCCCCAGTGGCTTGCAGGTAAGGGTTTTTTTTAAAGCAAGGGTAAATTTCAGGAAAGCAGAAGTGACTGGCAAAATTATAAATCAGTACATGGAGGTTACACATGGTTTTGTCCTGAAAACTCATGATATTTTGAAGCAAGGGCTTACAGCCCATACATAGATTCAAAGATTTTCTGATTTGTAATTATTTAAAGAAAAGGTTTGTTTTAAAATTTGGGGTCAGCAGAAAGAAATGTTAGCTCTTTGGCTAATGGATTTGACTCTGTCTAGGCCCGTCAGGAAGAGATTTAGTACAAAGAATGGCAGTCAGAATTCAGTTTTCAGGCCCCCCTTATCTGAGGTGTACTTGTCAGCAGATGCATTTGATGGGTGTCTAGGTTTATGGAAAATGACTCAGGAATGTATGTTAAGATGTGATCTTAGAACAGAACAAACATCTGACTCTAACTTCCTTGGCTATTGTTTAGGCTACTATTACCTTCTTACTTATCAAGCTCCTCGTTTCCTTCTCAGTGCTCACTGGGTACCTGGGATTTGCCTTGAAGGGACTCAGGATTCTCCTTTATTTCCCTGCTTGGGGAAGCTACAGGCCCCTAACAAAGGGTCCCTGCTCCATCACAGGATCTACCCAGTCTGTCTACCGACTCACATTTCAGAGCTTTCTGGTGAAACCCTCATGACCCAGAAGTAATGCTTTGCCAGTGTTCTAGGTGTTCCTTAATACAGTTAGTTGACACCTAAAACTCAGTGTCACAATTGCGTTTTGGAGTGTTACCCAAGCAGATTTCTCATGACGAGTTCAAATTGCTGGGTTAATGTCAAGCAACCATGATTTCCATAGAGTCAAACTGTGACTGAGGTGGTTACTGCCTCTGTGCAGTATTCATCTGTGCAGTATTCATCTGTGCAGTTCCCATAGGGGACAGTGGGGTGAGATCAAGGTGGTCTTGAGCTGTCTAATATGCAGTAGTCACCTTGAGCAGGTTTTATAAGGGGCTGTGTTCGATGACCAGCTTGAGGAACGTGGAGGCGGCCACAAACTGGAAACTGTCATGGATTTCTTTTTTTTTTTTTTTTTTTTTTTTGAGACGGAGTCTTGCTCTGTCACCCAGGCTGGAGTGCAGTGGCCAGATCTCAGCTCACTGCAAGCTCCGCCTCCCGGGTTCACGCCATTCTCCTGCCTCAGCCTCCCGAGTAGCTGGCACTACAGGCGCCCGCCACCTCGCCCGGCTAGGTTTTTGTATTTTTTTTAGTAGAGACGGGGTTTTACCGTGTTTGCCAGGATGGTCTTGATCTCCTGACCTCGTGATCCGCCTGTCTCGGCCTCCCAAAGTGCTGGGATTACAGGCTTGAGCCACCGCGCCCGGCCACTGTCATGGATTTCTAAACCCTATTTCTGGCATGAGAATGTCAAAACTATGTACAAAATGAATGCCCAGGCTATATAAAATTACAATTCACAACAACATTTAAAATAGGAATTCTAGTAGCCCAATAATAACTCTCTCTCTAATCCTGAGGCAGCAGGTAAATCGAGTTGTTCAACTAATTTGAAACTACAGTTAAACATGTTTTTGCAATAATAGACCAGAATACATATGAGCCAATGAAATTTTATACGGAGAAGGGGGCAGTCACAGTGAAAAAATAGTGTGTTCCATTTATTTTAAAAGGCATATTTTTTACATCTTTCAAATAGAGATGAATCATAATATTGTAAAAAGACTATCGGTTAGAAGACAGTCATAATGTGATCGACTTTGTGTGCACACACGTGAAATTGTTGTAAAAAACTTCAATTTTCACATTCTGGTGGTATCTTCAACATCACGACTCGTAGAGGGATGTTAGTAGATGAGAAACATAATCTAACAGAAACCTTATAGTTCTCTCACTACAAATACAGCATCAGCGAAGCTCCTAATTAGCAGAGATGATGCTAATGTAGGAAAAATCCATGGACAAGGTGAGTTGCACAGTGATTTAGAAGAGTTTTATCCAAATATGAGAAATTTTAGAAAACCTTCATTACCTATTTTGCTTTCACTTTCTATCTCATAGAAAAACCAGTGATCATAAGAGTGATATAACATAAATACACACATTTATTTAAGTTCAAAAGTGGAAAAAGTAAAGTAGAGGTTCCTCTTCAAAGATTTTCCTCCCCATCTAATTAGGCTTAAATAGTAACTTCTCTTAGAAGCAAAATTTATTCAAAGACCTATGCTAACATTCTTAAATATCTGCTAGCTGTAATAAAGAAATTAATGTACTTTATGTTCTTAGCTCCCACAATTTAGCCTAAATATTTGCCCTGGCATGTGTATACTGGTCCAAGCATTAGGTCATAGCCTGTTCCTCTTCCTTATTTGAAGGTGTTTTTACGTTTCTCAGCATTCCACAAGTGACTTCCTCCTTCCTTTGTTCTCCTCTGCCTTTGCCTCTTTTAAGAAGTTCTAAGTTGCTAGCCAGTCGGGACAAATACAGAATGTGAGGTCTCGTTCCAGCCAATGGAAACCGGACACAGCAGTAGGGTGGACGTATTAGTGTAAATGACCCTGTCTCTGTTTGGTGTACTCTCGTGGCAGAACTGCCAGTGAGTGTACCATTTCTGCAGAAAATATAAAAATGGCCTTGCTGAAGAAATTTAACTTATGTTCCAGTGCTAATTCTTTATGGCACCAGGGAATAGGCATTTCAAACAAAAAGTATTATTTTCAACATATATGAGATAAAATTTTTGTCATGTCATAGTTTTTCAATAGTTTTAGGCTTTTATTGTGATGCAAAATAATGATATATTTTACAGTTGATACATATGGTACTTCTTGCAATTACTTGAAAAAAACTGTCACTAGTAGCAAATACTAACTTAGTGTTTAGTGTAGACCTGTGTAAACCAAAAATGACTGATACAGATCTAATTCAATTCAGAGAATTATTTTGCCAAGTTTAAGGATAAAGAAACATAAACCACTGTAGGCTCTGTGGCCTGTGCTTTTTCCAAAGAGAGTTTTGCTGACTTCCATATTTATACGGGTGAGACCAGGCAGGAGCAGATGGAGGATAAAGAAAGTGGGGGAAAGACAGTGAGGCAAGTGTTACATTCTTACAAGGCCTTGATTAGCACTCACTGCATCTAGATGTTGCATGTGTAAAGAGGAGTGGGGAAAAAGTTGATTGTACATTTGTCTTGTGTGTGGGAGATCTACATTTTACATAAGATAAGCAAACTTGTGAAATTACAGCTGTCTCTTTGGGAACAAAAAGAAGGTAGTATTAGCATGACTCAGTTCCCAACCTTTCCTTTGGCATAGTGAGTTTGGGGTATCAAAATTTTATTTTCCTTGTTCTTCGAAATATTTCAGAGAAAGCATTTTAGAAGAAAATGATTGTTTGGTTATATTTTTCCCCTAATCTTTCAACAATAGGATGGTTTTTCGTAGAAGGTAAGGACTCACATTTTTAAGGAGACTCATTCTAGAAGGTTGTGAAGAAATAAGGGAAATAAGAAATAAAGGGAAAAAAGAAGAAGAAAGAGACACAGCTGGATTATAGCAACAAAGTAGAAAGCAATCCTTGAAAACCAATAGACTATATTGCAGAGCAGTCCATATATAACTAGACAGTCATGAAAATGTTTTATGTAAATAAATAAGATGCTGTTATTTCTCCAAAGTTTAAGTTTTCTAGTTTCAGTCTGCAGGGCTTTACAAAAAGCACAGTTTTAACTTCTACTAATTCCAAGTCAGAAAAAAATGGGAAAGAAAAAATCATAAAACATAGAAAATGTTAGGTTGGAGACTTGTAACCAGTAAAAGAATTTAGGATCCAGTCTAGCTAAATTGTAGACAAATAATAAAACTAGAAGGCAATGAGCAAGGCTGGAATCCAATAAAAGATGTACTATAGTTTCATTTGAAATACATTTTTCTCTCTACAGTTTTCCATTTTTACTAAAGCAAAATCATAGTAAGACCAATTTATTTCCAACGTAAGTTTTAGTTTTATTGTATTTGGCCTGATTATTTTCATAAAGTGCTACAAGAATAATTTTTTTTTCCGTATAGGCTCTTCTAAGTTGGCATTGATGGAACTTTTTTTTAAACAAAGTGTCTAAGATTTGACTTTTCAAAAAGCCCCTCAAGCTCAAACAAGGATTTATTGTGCCTGCAAATAACCGTATGAACTGGGTGAATTCTTCTCCTCTTGAGGTCACAAGATTACTTGGAGTTCCTAGGCCTGTCAGAAAGTGACATGCTTTTCTTACCACAGGTCAGAAAATCTGTAAAGAAACCGCATAGAGAAGGTACAAGGTCAGTCTCTCCAAGGGAATTTTATTGATTCTATTATTCAACCTAAATTTCTCAAAGCAATCTGCTCATAGATGAAAATGTGCTATTCCAGCCAAAGCCTTGGCAAGGTAGCCAGTGTCTCCAATTGTGTCCTGTTACCAAAAAAAAAAAAAAAAAATTATTACTGATCATACGCAAATAACTTACATTACCATAAATTAAGAATATTCAGAAATAGTTTTCAAATTCTGGGAAAGTCAGGTAAGAGAAAGAAGTATACTTCAAATTTTTCTCTAAAGAGTATACAATATTTAATTGTTAAAAACTAAATAGCTAAGAAAAAAGTTTTCTTTACTCTGAAAAACAAAACAAAAATAGTCGTCAATGTTTCAAATGAAAAAATCCTAAAAAATTGTTTCAGTCCTCTGTTACTTCAGTGCCACATAATTAACTTGCTCTACTTTATATGAGCTTAGCAGTCCTCATGAACACATCAGCCTGTTAATTAGAATCCTGGGAATTTTGTTGTTTTTATTGTTGTTGTTTTCATTAGTACAATGGCACAATCTCGAAAGTTATCAGAAACCTAAATTCAAGAAAACCTATCAGAGTCATTTTCATGAACTCCCCTAAAGAAGCAAGTTTTGTGCCACTGGTTTTTTATAAACCACTTATTGAGAATAATCAAAGTAAAACAATAATTGTGAATGAAAGATTCTTAGGACAGTCATAGCTACAGGTACAGTTGACAAGAAATTTGGTTAATTCTGTGTCATACAACAATTTAACATAATAATCATAGTTATTACTGACAACATACAGTAAGCCATGTCAGAATTATTGGCATTCATATGATTTTGGAGCACATGCTAATATTTAGGTAAATAGAACTCAAAGAAAGTTAAATATTCATCCATGTTTCCTGTATGATTTTAACATATTAAATATGGCTATTGAGTCCCTATTGGACTTCAGGTGACGTAATATTCAAAAAGCTAATTAGGTCACTAAGGCTGAATTAGAATTTGATTTGGAAAGTTTGTCCAATATCAAAGGTTTGAAACACTTGATATTATAAAATAGAATCACCAATCACGATGAAATAAATTACTCATTAAGCCAAAAATTATATTTTAAGTATTTCTAAAAAGTAAAAACCTTTATTCTTTGATATAGAGAAAGAAGATTCAGTTTCTCAAATAATAAGGTCTAATATCAGGCTGAATGCACTGGCTTGTGCCTGTAATTCCATTGCTTTGGGAGGCCAACACGGGAAGACCATTTGAGCCCAGAAGTTCAAGGTGAGCCTGGGCAATATAGTGAGACCTCGTCTCTACAAAAAAGAAATTTCTAAATTATCTGGTTGTATTGGTGTGTGCCTGTAGTCCTAGCTACTACAGAGGGTTGAGGAAAGATCACTTGAACTCATGATGTGGAGGTTGCAGTGCGCCAAGATCACACCACTGCACTCCAGCCTGGGTGACAGAGTGAGACCCTGTCTCAAAAAAACAAAAATACCCTGAAAAAAATGAAAAACCAGTAAGAGCTAATAAATATAGTATGAGACCAACTGAACCTTACTCCCCTCTTCTTGTTTTGCAATTTGCCCAAAAGGCAAACAGAAATCTTTCACTCTCTCTTAATATTAAACAAAATCCTGGTTCAAAAAAGAAAACCAACTTTACCTTTGCTTGGTGTGGTATTAATACTAAAGCAATTTTAGTAAAATTTTATAAATGAATTCATCAAATATCAGTCAGTTTAATCATAAGGTAAGATTTAAGAAATGCTTGTTAGCATTTTACTATTTTCTACTGAGGAGCAGATAAGTTCTCTGAGAAAATCATGTCCAGATTCTGCGCTTGCGTAAGTGTGCTTTTTAATGTTCAATTTATAGAAAGACTAAATAATACCCTTTAAATTTCAGCCCACTTGGTCACACACAGTATTTCTTTTGTAAGATCAATCTGCTACAAATCTACAATTCAGTCAACCTTTCAGTTTTGTCATATCATTTGACCTTAGAACAACAACAAAAAAATTATTTCTGAGCTTCCTTTACCTTTTTTTTGAGATGAAGTCTCACTCTCTCACCTGAGCTGGAATGCAGTGACACAGTCATAGCTTACTATAGCTTCAAATTCCTAGGCTCAAGCAGTCCTCCCATCTTTTAGAGTCTTGAGTAGCTGGGACAACAGGCACACACTACTGTGCCTGGCTAATTTTTTTTTTTTTTTTTGTAGATATAGTGTCTCACTTTGTTGCCCAGGCTGGTCACAAACTGGTGGCTTCATGTAGTCCTCTCATTTTGGCCTCCAAAAGTGCTGGGATTACAGGAATGAACCACCACACCAAGCCCCAAGTTTCTGTATCCATTTAGCTTTATCTATCAATTTTAAGACAATTTGGAAACCTCTACAGTAGACAAAATTTCCCTTTGTAAGGAAAACACATTTCTCATACCTTTCTGTAGCAATTTTTTTCCTAAAAACACACCTCACTTTTATTATACACTTTGGATGCATCTAGTAGATTTCATTATATATGTTAATTATAATGTTAATTACCTCTCAGTAACTTTTATTTTTAGTGAAAAAATCTAGGAAGTAAGAAATTTTACTTATGTATCAGGTGCAGAACCAGGAACAAAAGACAGAGCTGCCAATAATGTCTGACCCTTCCCACTGTAGTCAGAGGGCACATTTGGGCTGAGGAGAACACTATATGTCCCCTGACCTTACTATGGCTGTAAGAAAGACAAGTCAATTATTTAAAATATCACAGAGCACTTCAGACCAAATATCTAAATTAAATTCTGAAGACATTTCTATTTTATTTTACCAATTATTTTATTTTAGGTTCAGGGGTACATTTGCAGGTTTGTAATACGGGTAACTTTTGTGTCACAGAGGTTTGGTGTGCAATTTTGGAACATACACTAACACATTTATATACATTGAACCCAAAGAAAGTTAAATATCTGACCATGCACTTTAATCAAGGGTAGCCTTATGAATTTTAAGCAATGCTAAGAGATTTTAATGTACAGAGCCAGAATTCTCAAGGATAGTCATGACGCTTTTGTCAGTCATTTGTAAAATTTGATATTCTAATCAATTATTAAGAATATGAGATCTCTAAAATCTTTTTTATGTATCTCCAATCAAAACTTTGTGGAGGAGACAGTGATTTTTACCAAAACAGGAAGAAAAAGTGATTGCACAATTTACATAAGTTGAGATCTTTGAACATAAGAATTTATAACCGACTAACAAGAAACCTAGACTTAAAGCTACCAAATCCAATTAAAAATCCCCAAGCCAGCTCCTCACTTGCAGATGCTGGTCCAAGTTGAAGACTGCTCTCTGCCTCCTCAGAAGCAGCAAACTCCTAGAAAGGGAGTTCTACAAGAGAACATACCTCGGACCTCAAACAAACAGTTTGGGAGATCAGGGATCTCTGTAGAAGGAGGCTCCCAGACCTCAGCAAATCATCCAGTCAGTCAGAACAATACAAAGCTTCCAGCTGGCTGTACCGGGGCCCTGCTCCGAGACTTGCTGCAGGCCAAAGGGCCAGACTCTGCACAGAACTCACTGTGGTTTCCACAATGTAAACCAAAAAGTGACTGAGGCGGGTCTCAGTAAATTGAGAGCTAGATCTTGCCAACTTTGAGGATGTGCATGGGAAAAAGAAACACAAGTTACAGCAGGATCTGTGGTCTGTGCTTTTTCCTAAGAGAGTTTTGATGACTTCAGCATTTAAAGAGGAAAAAGTGAGCAGTAAGGGAAGGAGGGAAAAAGAAGAAAAGAGGGGTAGGCCCTGAGGCAAGTGTTTGCATTCTTGTGAGGCTTTGATTAGCACTCACTGAAACCACATTTTACATATGAAAATGGAGTGGGGGATAAAGTTGATTGTGCATTCATCTCATGTTTGCTACATTTTGCATAAGATAAAGTAACCATGTATAATTACAGCTATCTATTTGGGGAAAAAAGGAAGTCAGTTTTAGTGTGACAGGGTTCCCAAGCCTAACTTTCCCATTGGGCATAGTGATTTAGTGTCCTGAGATTTTATTTTCCTTTCAAACCTGCTATTAGTGTACACATTTCGTGTGTGAGTGCATTAACTTGTCACAGCATCTCAGGAGGTAGACACTACTGTGAGTTTCTGAAAGTTCTAGCTCTGAATCTGAGCTAAAGCCCTACAGGAAGAGACTTAGAACAACCTTGAGCTTGACCTAGTGTCCCTACTCACGTCAACTGTGGTAGAATAGCATTTCTCTCTTAGAGTAAACACTTCCTATGTGCAAAGAATTCCTCACCTACCCTATTGTAATGAAATTATTTTCCTATATTAAATTCTAAATACTCCATTGAATTCTTTTTTCTCTGGAGGTCTATAATCCTCCTGAAATTGATTTCATGCATGAGTTTAAAAGTTAAATTTTATTTCTCCAGATGGATATTCAGTATCCTGAAATATTTATTGAAAATTCTCTTTTTCCACTAATTTTTCTTTTGGATTATTTGTTTATATAGGCATCTATCAGATTTTCAACTCTTTTTTATTTTTATTGATTGTTCTTTATTTTATTTTATTATTGTTATTTTTTTTTTTTTTTTGAGACGGAGTCTCGCTTTATTGCCCAGGCTGGAGTGCAATGTTGCGATCTCAATTCACTGCAGCCTCTGCTTCCTGGGTTCAAGCAATTCTCCTGCCTCAGCCTCCTGAGTGGAAGGGATTACAGGCACATGTCACCACACTCAGCTAATTTTTTTTATTTTTAGTAGAGATGGGATTTCACCATGTTGGTCAGGCTGGTCTCAAACTCCTGACCTCATGATCCATCCACCTTGACCTCCCAAAGTGCTGGGATTACAGGCGTGAGCCACCATGCCTGGGCTGTTGATTCTTCTTTCTGTGTTCAAAGATTACATTTTCTTATTTTTTGGAGCGTTCATTTCACACTAGAAATTTCCCTCCAGAGACTGTTCTCTTCATCACTGTGCTACCGAAGACAGGGAAGGATAAAACCGTGCATGTCTTACACTTACGTTAATATTCCCAGCTGTAGTTCAAAATAACAACAGGTCATAGAACCTGTGGAGACAAAATGACCCATTTTGGATGCTAATCCACCATGTTACTTCTGATTTACCCAGGTTCCATGAATGCCTTCTGATCTCTCATTTATTTGCTGTCCTTAGTGTAAAATCATGTCAACAAAAATTATAGGCTATGATGCATGTAGCCTCCTTGTCCATTCTGGAGGGTTGCTTTTAATTGCCTTGCTAAGGCATGTATACCCCTTCCCTGTGGAGTATTAACCCAGGGTCTGGAGAGTAACAGTGTGAACAACTACCTACCTGCAGCCATCCAAAGTTATGCTCCTGTGTGTACGTTGCATCCATAAATTAACTAGTACTGACAAAATGGATTTTCTGCCTCCTTTAATTTTTCAGATCCTTTGGCATTTGAGAGTTGCTTCGTGTATACGGCCCTGTAATGGAGCAAATGGCCAGCCAGGAAACCAAAATATGGACAAGGGGACAGAAGCATCTGTGGAGGAAGTTTTACGAGTGGCCCTCCTCATCCTTGTGGGTGGTGTTGCCCATATGCTATGTGTCTGTGGACCACTTTTGAGGGTGCCTCAAAAGTGACAGAGGGTCTAGAAAGCTTGTTAGTAAAATGCTACTAAAAAGTATGACTCACTGTGGTGAGAAAGATTGCCGAGTGGTCACGAAAGCACAAGTAGCAGCTGAGGCAAGTGTAGGGAAGCTGGGAAAAGAATCACAGTGAGAAAGGGATGTGAGAACTTCCATGTCTGTGCTAATGTCTGGGTTTTTTTGGATAAACTTGAAACTCAGGAGGCACAGTTGGAAATCGTACCTTGCCACTTTGTGTTGCTGGGAGAGAGAAAACTGGGCCCGCTGAATGTGTGGACTGTCCTTGCCAAGCCAGGCTGGGATGCAAATACCTGCAATTCTTGGGAACCAACCAGTGAGTCAGATGATGACATAGAGGTTAACTCAGAGGAGGAAGATCATTATCCTCCCCATTTGAGAGTGAAACTCTTCATGCAGTGGAAAGCCTGATTCCAACACACACAGGCCTGGGCAGGATTACTGGAGACAGCAAAAACTTTTAAACAGCTGCCAAGAGAAAGCTTTATGTACATGAATGGTGCAGCTATGGGACACCAGTGGGGATGATATCTCACTAGAAGGGAATGAACCTGAAAAATCAATACAGAAGTACCCCCGGAAGTGAAATAATCCCCTTATGGAACAAGATATGGGGAAAGCCATTTCAGATTTCCTAGAAACTCAAAAGGGAAGAGATTAGTTCTGACTGATTGCTAAAGGAAAATGGAAAAAGGGAGAGACAAAGTTTGCTGGACCGAAAAAAGGAGTTTAAAAAGTTGCAATTAGGGTTGCTAGGAAACAAATGTGATATGATCTGATTTCAGCTGGGATTGACAAAGAATACAGATGGGCAACCCAACGGCATATTAGTGGGGTTTGGAAAGACTTGACTCCTGAACATTAGTTTAGACCCCTTCCTAGTACCCGCCCCCTCCCACGTCTACCAGAAGAGGGAGAAAGACAAGAAGAAACCCTCGGTAAAAGGATCCCAATCTCTGCAATTCAGGGGTGGACATCTTTCCAGCCTGAAGATCATAGGTAGGGTCAAGACTGCTTCTGTGTAAGAGCAATAGGGGGAGACCAGAGGTCGTATTTGGAACTCACTATTGATTGGAGTCTAAAACGGCACTAAGAGAACCTCAACTTTAGTGGGAGCAGGTGAGGAATGTGTCTTAATTGATGGAAATCCAGAGAGAGACCCTAGTAAGTAGGAAGCTATAGATAGTTGTGAAGGGTTAAAAATCTGAGTGAAACAAACTCCTCTCCTCCTTAGTTTTGTCTAGAGTTCCCCCATTGCTTACTCTCCTGTCTTTATCTCAACTATTTCAGAAAACATCTTGAGTAAGGATGTCTTCTTAGGATGCACTTTACAAACATCTGTGGGGGAATTTCATCTATGACAAAGGCTATATTAAGAGGGGAGGCAAAATGGGAAAGTGGACCTCCCTCCGCCACCGTGTATTGTTAATGTGAGACAATATCATCTTCTGGTAGAACACAAGAAATCACAGCCACTGTGAAGAAACTGGCCAAAGTTAGTATTAGCCGGCCAGCCCAGAGTCCTTTCAACCATCCTATATGACCAGTAATAAAATCTGATGGCACTTCCAACAGTAGACGAGTGGACACTACCAATCTTTCCAAGATACATGCTGCTGTGTGTAATATAACTCAAGTGACTGAGCAATTAATACAAAACAGACACTTATGCTGTGTTAGATTTAGCTAATGCCTTCTTTAGCATCCCTTTTACCCTGACTTGCAGGCATTATATTGATGATATTCTAACTTCTGAGGACTGACTTGTCATTGCTGCAGCAACACCGAGATGCACTGGCACCCTTCTTCAATCCAGAGGATGGGCCATCAACTCACAAAAGTGCAAGGCCTGGGAGCAGCTGCAAAGTTCCTATGGATCACTTGGTGAGGTAAGACACGCCTTACTTCAGGCTTGGTCATTGAGAAAATATAACAATTTTGCATACCTAAAACAGTTAAACAGTTGCAAAGCTTCCTAGGTCTTTGGGGATACTGGTGGGCTTTCATCCTATATTTATTTCAGTGTTTGCATCCCCTATACTGACTATTAAATAAGCAATCTCAAATGGGCACAGTAGCTCACACCTGTAATCCCAGCACTTTGGGAGACCGTGGCGGGCATCACTTGAGGCCAGGAGTTTGAGACCAGTGTGGCCAACATGATGAAACCTCTTCTCTACTAAAAGTATAAAAAATTAGCCAGGCATGGTCATGCGTACCTGTAATCCCAGTTACTTGTGTGGCTGAGGCATGAGAGTTGCTTGAACCTGGGAGGTGGAGGATTTAATGAGCTGAGGTCATGCCACTGCACTCCAACCAGAGCGACAGAGCCAGAGACTGTATCTCAAAAAAAAAAAAAAAAAAAAGAGGGGATCTAGGATAAAGAACAAGTGGTAGTATTTGAGAAGGGCTAAAATATTGATGGCTCAGGCACAAGCTCTAGTTTCCCCCTTCTGGGATACCATTGTCTTTAGATGTGACTGTAAGTCCTGAAGGGACAGGACAGGTCCTATGGCATGTGCGGCAGGGGAAAACAGTTCTTCTAAGATTCTGGTCACTGCTGTGGAAGTGTGCTGAAACCCACTCTTCTCCAGTTGAACAACAGGTTCTGGGAGCATGTAAGGCCATGCTGCACATCTGCCTGTAACTGATCATCTGCCAGTAACAATGAGAACAGATCTATTAAAGGCTGGATACAAGGGTTGTTTTCCAGGCCTACATCAGCTATTTCTCAAGCATCCATTTTACAGAAGTGCCATGCATACCTGGAACAATGTGGTGCCGTCTCTACAAGTCCTTTGGGAGACGCGTGCTGTCTTAGAGCCAGGACACTCTGAGACCATTGCTGCCGCTGTGGCGGAGGCCCTGTAGGAGATGCCTTCAGTAACATACAAAGGCACGTCTCCATTCCTGAAAATGCTTGGCACTCAGATGAATGGAGCTGAGGTGACCCTTGTGTTAGATGACAGTAGCTGTACAGTTGCAGACAAATACTATCTGACAGAGAGTGTTGAGGTTTCCAAATATAATAGTGAATGAATCTCTTTCTCCTCGCAGTTATGTCAGTTTTGGCCTTACATAGTTTGACATTCTGTTGTTAGGTACTTAAATGCTTTAAAGATTATTATGTTGTACTGGATAACTGACCCCTTCATCTTTGTGTAATGCCCGTGTTTATTTTTAGTGACTTTCCTTGAAAGACTGCTCTGTCTGTAGTTCATGCAGTGACTCTTCCTTTGATAAGTAAGCGTTGGCCTAAGCTATTTTGTTTCATCTATTTACTTTAAATGTATACGTGTCTTTATATTTCATAGATTTTACTTAACATCATTTAATTGGGTTGACTTTGTTGATCTACGCTGACATTCTCAGTTCTTTGATTGATGCGTTTAGACTATTGACAACCAATGGAGTTGGATTAATATCAACCGTATGTGTTACTCTTTGATTTGTTGCCCCTGTTCTTTCTTCCCATTATTGTACTTCACTTGTTTTGTGTGTTTTGTGATTTTAATTGAGAATTGTATGCAATTCTATTTTCTCTCCATTCTTAGCATATCAATTATATAACTTTTGTTTGTTTTTTTTTTTTTTACTATTTTAGTGGTTGCCCTATGGAATAAAGCTTTTATTTTTCATATTCTTAGTTTAGTCTCACAGATAATGGTTTCTGGAAAATAATAATAGCACCGATGTATTTGATTAGGCATGCTTATGTCTATATGTTATGTGTATATAAATATACACGTATATGTGCATGTGTACTCACGTATAAGTGAAATGAATGACAGCACTAATAGGGAGAACAAAACAGCTAAGATTATTTTGTTATTCTAAGATATTCATACTACCTGTGAGTGACACAGTGTTTTTTGAAAAGTATCTTGGATTCATTTTGAACGTAATATTGCAAACTCTGGGTAAGGGTTTTGGACCAAGGGCCTCAGTTCTTTGCTGGCTTTGGCCTGTTTCTGCATTCAGTTCCCTCCCGCGTTGGCTTCTCCCATATGGCAAATGTTCCATCAAAGACACCAAGGGAGGGATTTTGCTAGCAAGACAAGAATCATAATCTAATATAACACAATGATCCTACTAATGTCCCATCACCATTGTAGTCTTCTGTTGATCTGAAGCAACTCACAGTTTCTGACTACATTCATTGGAAGGAATTAGAATACAAAGTTACTTATCAACGTTACCTATACTTAGAGGTGGGAGTCATTGGGTGCCATCTTAGGTTCTACCTGCCACATCTGAACTTCTCCAATATGAAATCATTTTTCGGTCTTCACTTATTTTCTATTACCTTGACCCTTTTGACAAGGACTAGTCAGTTCTATTGTAAAATTTCCCACAATATGAAGTTGTCTGATGTCTTCTCATAATTAGACTAGGGATTATGGATTAAATTCAGTGTTTTCAATATTTATATTTGTTTAAGTTTAAAGATAAAAGACTGAACAATATAGTATTTATATATATAAAACATACAGGAAAAATGAATATAAGCAAACTAGAGATGAACAAAAATAATCCATAATAATAGTTACCTTCAGCTGTTAACAAAGATGATGAAATTCAGGAGATACATTCAGGGTGCATCAATGATATTGTTAATGTTCTTTCTGTTTTATAAGCTCAGCAAAGGCTTAACATAAAATAAACTTTTGAAATTTAAGAATAGTTTTAGATTTACAGAGCAGTTCCAAATATGATACATGGAGTTTCCACAGACTCCATACACCATGTTCCTTAATAACCGCCTTATATTAGTGTGGGATGTTAGTCACAATGAACCAACCAGTATTACACTATTATTAACTATCCACACTTTATTCAGCTTGATTTAGTTTTCATTCAATGTCGATTTTCTGTTCCAGGATCCTATCCAGGATATCTTATTGCATTTACAATTCATGCTCCTTAATTGACTTTGACCGTGACAATTTCTCCAAGTTTCCGTGATTGCTATGACATTGGCCTTCCTAATTTGGGATTTCTTTCATGTTTCTTTCATGATTAGACTGGATTGTAAGTTTCAAGGAGGAAGATCACAGAGGGAAAGTGCCATTCTTATCACATGCTGTTAAGGGTACAGACTATAACATGCTTTATCATTTTTGATGTTCATTTAATCATCTGAACGAGATACTTCAAATCAAATTTCTACACTGTGAAATTACTTTTTTTTTTTTCTTCTCCTTTCCATGTTGTATGTTTCAAAAAGAAGTCACTGTACACAACACACAAATAAGAAGTGAAGAATTATGTTCCACTTCCTAGGGACAGAGTGTCTGCAGAAATTATTTGGAATTAATCACAATGAACAAATGCCTATTCTTCTTCAATTATTCCATATTATTCCATCATTGTTCTAGCCATAGGCAAACATGGGTACTTATTTTACACTTTACTTGAAATAATTTATTTGGTTTATTGTGCAAATTGCTTCAGTATTATCCAAGGGACTTTCTCTTTTTTTCTTTTCTTTTCTTTTCTTTTTTTTTTTTTTGAGACAGAGTCTCGCTCTGTCGCCCAGACTGGAGTGCAGTGGTGCCATCTCAGCTCACTGCAACCTCCGCCTCCAGGGTTCATGCCATTCTCCTGCCTCAGCCTCCCTAGTAGCTGAGACTACAGGCGCCCTCCACCATGCCTGGCTAGTTTTTTGTATTTTAGTAGAGATGGGGTTTCACCGTGTTAGCCAGGATGGTCTCAATCTCCTGACCTCATGATCTGCCTGCCTCGGCCTCCCAAAGTGCTGGCATTATAGGCGTGAGCCGCCGCGCCTGGCTGGGACTTTCTTTCAGTTGGATTATCTATAATTTTGAAATCTCCCCATAATTATGGTTTGTTGGTGTTGTGTGGCTGTTTATTGCATCATTGGTTGGCATTTTCTTTTCTTCTGGCACTACCAGGTGCTGCAGGCTGATTGTGTTTATTCCCTGTCTAACCCTATTCACCATTTCTTCACAATGCCCTAGTTCCTTTGAATGGAAAATGGAATTAGAAATGAAGATCTAGAGACTAGGGTATATTCATTGCCCCTGGGGCATCTGATGACTTGAGGTCTTGTCAGCTGACTGAGCAGAAGAATATACATGTGTATAAATATTTCAACAGGTCTGCATATATATCTATATTAAACTAACCATGAATTCCATCTAATATTTCTGGCAGCACTTGATCTAATCCACTACCACATGAAGCTGTCTATCCATTCCAACCTGTTTGTATGTAGCTTGCGCCTCTAACATGGAACTAGTTGGCTCTGTTAACTTAATGATGTCATCCAAAAATACATGCATAGCGTTTTCAAAAGTGGTAATTTATACACCCCTGGGAAACTACCAACTAAAACTAAGTCCTCATGTACAAATTGTTTGTCCTTTTGACTTAGAATCTCAGGATCTCCCTGTATGTCCTAATTTACTTCGGTCAGCCCCCTTTTCCCACTCTGGTGAGCTTATTTCACACATTTGTTATAGAGTTATATTATTTAATCTCTCTATCATATCAACTAAATAAGGCCTTTTTCTTTTTTTCTTTCCTGGATACAGTCTCACTCTGTTGCCCAGGTTGGAGTTCAGTGGCACGATCTTGGCTTACCTCAACCTCTGCCTCCCATGTTGAAGGAATTCTCCTGCCTCAGCCTCCCGAGTAGCTGGGATTACAGGCATGTGCCACCTGCATGGCTAACTTTTGTATTTTGTATTTTTAGTAGAGGCAGGGTTTTGCCATTTTGGCCGGGCTGGTCTCAAACTCCTGTCTTCAAGTGATCCCCCCACCAACCTCAGCCTCCCAAAGTATTGGGATTACAGGCATGAGCCACGGTGCCTGGCCTAAATAAGGTTTTTATTTTACTGTCTGTGTGTTACGAAGTTCTGTAGGTCTTGAATGACAGTGTCACATATTCAGTGTCACATTGTCATATAGAACAATTTCACAGCCCCAGAGACATTTCTTGTACTTTTGTTTAACCCAAGGCTACTGTATTAATCTGTTCTCCCATTGGTATGAAGAAATACCTGAGACTGGGTAATTTATAAAGAAAAGAGACTTAATTGCTTCACAGTTCTGCAGGCTATAAAGAAAGTATAGTGACTTCTGCTTCTGGGAAGGCCTCAGGAAATTTCCAATCATGGTGGAAGGCAAAGGGGGAGCCAGCACTTCACACGGCCAAAGCAGGATGAAGAGAGGGAGTGGTGTGCTATACTTTTAAGCAACCAGATCTTGTGAGAACTCGCTCTCAGGAGAACACCACCAGTTGTGCTAAACCATTTATGAAAAATCACCCTCAGGATCCAATCACCTCCCACTAGATCCCACCGCAAACACTGCAGATTATAATGTGACATGAGATTTGGTGGGGACAAAGATCCAATTTATTTAGTGATGAAGTTGTGTTCTTATGTTCTCGTCTATGGATTTGGTCTGTTTGGCTCCTATACTTAGATGCATTATTAATTTGAGTCAATCCTGCATATGGTGCTAGGGAGGAGATAGGTTGCATGTCAGTGTCTATTTGTCCCAGCAACACTGTGTGAGGAAATATTTCTTTATATTGTATTGATTTGGCAACCTTGTTAAATTGTTTTACCATGCATGTAAGAATTAATTTTTGACATTTGATTCTATTCCATTGATCTATATGTCTCTCCTCACATAGTAGATACACACACAGACACACACACACACACACATGCACACGGTACATGATATGGTTTGGTACAGGCATGTAATATGAAATAAGCACACATCATGGAGAATTGGGCATCTATCTCCACAAGCATTTATCCTTTGAGTTACAAACAATTCAATTATACGTTTTAAGTTTTGTAAAAATATACAATTATTATTGGCTTTTATAGTTACCCTGTTATGCTATCAAATAGTATGTTTTATTCATTCTTTCTATTTGTTTTGTAACCATTAAACATCCTTACCTTCCCCCAGCCCCCTGCTACCATTCCCAGCCTCTGTTAACCATCCTTCTACTCTCTATGTCCATGAGTTCCATTGTTTTTATTTTTAGAAGCCATAAATAAGTGACAACGTGATATTTGTCTTTCTGTGCCTGGTTTATTTCACTGCAGATAGTGATCTCCAGTTTTATCCTTGTTGTTGCAAATGACTGGGTCTCTCTATTTTCTATGGCTTAATAGTACTCCACTGTTTATATGCACCGTATTTTCTTTATCCAGTCATCTGTTGATGGACACTTAGATTGCTTCCAAATCTTAGCTGTTGTAAACAGTGCTGCAACAAGCATAGGAGTGCAGATGTCTCTTTGATATACTGATTTCCTTTCTTCAGGGTATATATCCAGCAGCCTACTGCTGGGTATATTTGGTAGCTCAATTTTAGTTTTTTGAGGAACCTCCAAACTGTTCCCCATAGTGGTTGTACTAATTTGCATTCCCACCAACAGTGTACAAGGGTTGCTTTTCTCCACATCCTCACCAGCATTTGTTATTGCCTGTCTTTTGGATAAAAGCCATTTTATCTGGGGTGAGATGATGTCTCATTGTAGTTTTGCTTTGCATTTCTCTGATGATTAATGATTTTGAGCACCTTTTCATATGCTTGTTTGCCATTTGTATGTCTTTGAGAAATGTTTATTCAAATATTTTGTCCTTTTTGGTTTGATTATTTGATTTTTTTCCTATAGGGTTGTTTGAGCTGCCTATATATTCTAGTTATTAATCCATCAGATGGGTAGTTTTCAAATATTTTTTCCCATTCTGTGGGTTGTCTCTTCACTTTGTCGATGAGATCCTATCCTGTGCGGGAGCTTTTTAACTTGATATGATCTCATTTGCCCATTTTTGCATTGGTTACCTGTGCTTGTGGGATATTGCTCAAGAAATTTTCTCCTAGACCAACATACTAGAGAGTTTCCCTAATGTTTTCTTGTAGTAGTTTCATAGTTGGAGGTCTTCGATTTCAGTCTTTAATCCATTTTGATTTGATTTTTTGCATACAGCGAGAGACAGAAGTCTAGTTTCATTCTTCTGCATATGGATAACCAGTTTTCCCAGCACCATTTATTTAAGGGATTGGCTTTTTCTCCAGTTTATGTTCTTGGCAACTTTGTCGAAAACGAGATAACTGTAGGGTTGTGGATTTGTTCCTTGGTTCTCTACTCTGTTCCATAGGTCTATATGGGTATTTTTATGCCAGTACCATGCTGTTTCATTTACTATAGCTTTGTAGTATAATTTGAAGTCAGGTAATGTAATTCCTCTAGTTTTGTTCTTTCTGCTTAGGATAGCTATAGATATTCTGGGTCTTTTGTGGTTCCATATCCTTAACATAATTTTGATTACTATTACTTTGTAGTAAGTTTTGAAATCAGAAAGTATGATTTTACTACACATAATTTGTTGTTTTTCAAAATTATTTTGTCTGTTCTGGAATTCTATTGCATTATATATTAATTTTAGAGTAAGATTGCCAATTTAGGAAGAAAATGTTACCTAGGATTTAGCTAGGGATTGCATTAGATCTATTTGGAAAGTATTACCAACCTAATGATACTAAGCTTTCTGATCAATGACAGCTCAATGTATTTAATTTATAATTTTATTAATTTTGATATGTTTTGTAGTTCTCAATATGCATATCATATACTTATTTTATTAAATTAATTCATAGGTATTTAACTTTTATGCCATTTTAAATGAAATGGTTTTTGAAATTTTGTTTTTAGATTGTTAATTGCTAATAAATAAAAATACAATTGATTTTGTATATTGACCTGTACTAAGCTGTACTACAAGCTTGCTTAACCCTTTTTTCACTTTTTGTTATGTTTATTAGAGTTTTTATGATGTGTATAGACAGGATCATGTCATTTGTAGACATAATTTGACTTTCCATCCAATCTTACTGCTTCATATTTATTTCCTACACCGATTACCTTGGCCACATCCTCCAATACAGTGTTGAATAAAACTGTGAAAGTGATCTCCTTCTCTTATTTCTAATTTTACAAGAAAGTTTTTGAACTTCTCAGAAAATTTAGGATATCATGTGAGCTTTTTTATGCTTTCATGGTGAGGAAATTTCCCTTATTTGCCTAAGTTGTTGCATGTTTTTATAATGAATGAAATTTGAATTTGGCAAGTGCTTATTGCTCATCTTTTAAGATGACCATGTGTATTGTGTCCCTTATTTCTTAATGTAGTTTATGGCACTAATTCTTTTTGTATGTTTAACCAAATTTGCATTCCTAAGATGTATACCTTGGTCAAAATTTATAAATTTTTACATGTCTGTTATTTGTTTTGATAGTATTTCCTTGAATTTTTGTGTTTATGTTCATAAGTCATATTGATCATAGTTTTTCTTTCTTGAGTAACTTTGTCTAGCTGTGGTGTAAGGCTAACTGATAATTCACATTGGAATGTGATCTATTCTTTGTGTTGTTCTTACTGTTTTTTATGTGAAAGGTCTAATATTATTTAGCACAGAGAGAACTGAACACATAAAAAGGAGAAAAAATGTACATTTTTTCAAGATAATTTTCAGACGTTGCAAACAATTGTATAAGTAAGTAAAACCAAATCAGAGTAGTAAAGAGATGTAATTGGGCTACATAGATGGAGATTTACAATACACTAGAAAGGGAGAGAGGAAGGTGGGTGATAAATTACTATTTTTAATATGATTTTCACTATTTTGCATATTTCTTTCTTTAAATGCACTACACACAAGTATAGACACAAAAATATGGGTTGACAAACAGGTGTTCATTATTTAGAAGAAATAAAAAATTTAAATTCTGGTATTTCTTTTTTTTTTTTTTTTGAGATGGAGTCTCGCTTTGTCGCCCAGGCTGGAGTGAGTGGGGCGATCTCGGCTCACTGCAAGCTCCGCCTCCCGGGTTCACGCCATTCTCCTGCCTCGGCCTCCAAGTAGCTGGGACTACAGGCGCCCACCACCTCACCCGGCTAATTTTTTGTATTTTTAGTAGAGACGGGGTTTCACCGTGTTAGCCAGGATGGTCTCAATCTCCCGACCTCGTGATCCACCCGCCTCGGCCTCCCAAAGTGCTGGGATTACAGGCGTGAGCCACTGCGCCCGGCCAAATTCTGGTATTTCTTTAAGGTCAGTTTAGTTTGTATGCTCAGGAGACCTAACATGTAGACATATGAAGGGACATGTTTTGTGAGCCTTTATAAATATCTATAAAAAATAGAATATCAGAGTTTTTAAAAACTTAAAAGTTGAACAAAACAAAAATTTAAATATTATTATTAAAGTTGTCACCTATTTCCAGATGAGGACTTAGAGAAACAAACAGTTGGCAAACCAGTGTAGCAGGTGTCTTCCGTGAAGCCGGATGCACACCCTGGGAACTGGGCTGTTGCTGGAGCTGACACTGCTGTGCTGCACGTCTGGCTGCCACCAGTTGCCTCCCTCTCTGGAAGTGGAATTTGAATTGCAGGTGCTGACGGCTGATGGAAGAGGGACAAGACCACATTATCTGAAAATTCTTGACTGTGTTGCTTGCTCCTCATTTCACTGCTGGGTGCCACAGGCTTGGGGTTAACTGTTTGTTTTCTGAAAAATATATGATAAATTAGTATGAATTATTTGAAGATGTAAAATCATTCACTGATAATCTCTTCTTGACCAAATCAGGGTTTTTTTTTTTTTTTTTTTTTTTTTTCAGAGACAGGGTCTCACTCTGCATCCAGGCTGGAGCACAGTGGCATGAATGTAGCTCATTGCAGACTTGAACTCCTTTTGCCTCAGCCACTTGAGTAGCTGGAGCCACAGGCACATGCCACCATATCTGGCTAATCTTTTTTCTTCTTTTCTTTTTTCTTTTCTTTTCTTTTCTTTTCTTTCTTTCTTTCTTTTTTTGTAGAAACAGGTTCTCACTATGTTGCCCAAGCTGGTCCTGAACCCCTAGCCTCAAGTAATCCTCCTGCCTTAACCTACCAAAGCATTGGGATTATAAGTTTGAGCCACCGTGATCAGTCCAGGGTAGGAAATGGAATCTTAACAACTGTCACGTGAGCTTTGAGGGGATCCTTCTCCAGATGAGCCTTCACTTGAGACCTCAGCCTTGGACATCATCTACATCTGGATTCCTGACCCAGAGCAACTGTAAGTAATGTGTGTATGGTTTTGAGCCACCACACTATGTGGCAATTTGTTGTGCAGCAACTGATAACTAAAACAAAAGATAGTACATTTAATTTATAATACTACCCTAGATTAGATTCTGGAACAGAAAAATGGCATTACTGGAAAACCTGGTAAACTCTGAAGAAAGTCTGTAGTTCAGTTAATAGTTTTGTACCACTGTCAATTTATTAGTTTTCATAAATACACTATGGGTATATAAATAAGATGTTAACATTCTAGTAAACTCCTGGGTATGTAAAACTAGCTGTACTCTGTTTGTATCTTTATGTATATGTAAAATTATTTTAAAATGAAATCTTTGATTTTTTATTTTTAATTAAAAAAGACAGGCATGCATATGTTATACCAGCTTCTGGGGAGGCTGACTTGGGAGGATTGCTTGAGCCCAAGAGTTCCACGTTGAAGTGAGCCATGATTGAGTCACTGCACTCCATCTTGGGAATCAGAGTGAGATCATGACTCAAAAAAAAAAAAAAAAAATGGCCTCAGGGATGAATGGACATATAGGAAAAAAATAGCCAAGCACATTTCCTCTTGTGTTTACCCTTCCAAATGTAAATGCATCCACTTCAGGAAGCCACCGTCAAACTCAAGGAATGCTTGTCCGTATTGGACCTCCCCATCACACTCTTCATTTCCAAGTAACTTGTTTGAGTGTCGGTAACCTCTCTTTTCAGAGTTATTTGGTTATGCCTCACATATCCCAGAAAGGGCCATTTTCAGATATCGTTTAGGAGCGTATCTGCAGGATCCCACTGAACACGTTTTGGCAGACAAAGTTTCTGGATGCCAGAGACCAAGATTGAGAAATGTTAGTGACAAGAAATATAAATTATATTTTCATGTTATGATTTTTTATTAATACAGGCTTTGTTTTCTAAAGATAACTCGCCTTCAAGCCTTGTTGGAATCCTGTGATAATTTCTTTTCACTCCACGTTCTCCATCAAGAATTTTGTGGAACTTTGTATTCTGTTGAATACCAGAATTATATCAGCAATTCCCAAGCCCCAAAGTCACCAAATGGGCATCATCGTTGACATCAGGTGGGTGGAATACAAAAAAATATATATATATATGGTGGTTGGTGGTTGTGGCAATTTCTACTTATCTGGACCTGGACAAAAAAATCTTTTCACACCAGATTTTTGGCAGCTGAGATTCAAAATAGGTTTTGCACAGGTATGGAAAACCTGATAGAGGCAAAACAACAGGCCAGGTGTGGTGGCTTACGCCTGTAATGCCAGCATATTGGGAGGCCAAAGTGGGTGGATTGCTTGAGTCCAGGAGTTCAAGACCAGTCTGGGCAACATGGAGAAACTGTCTCTACAAAAAAATAGAAAAATTTAGCTTGGTATAATGGCACACACCTGTGGTCCCAGCTACTCAGGAGGCTGAGGCAGGTGGATGGATTGAGCCCAAGAGGTCAAGGATGCAGTGAGCCATGATTGTGTGCCTGCACTGCAGCCTGGGCAATAAAGCAAGACCCTCTCAAGAAAGAAGAGCGAGAGAGAGAGAGAGAGAGAGAGAGAGAGAAAGAGAAAGGAAAGAGGGAAAGAAGGAAGGAAAGGAAGGAAGGAAGAAAATACAACATATCCCCAACCCTCCAGCAGTGATCTAAGAGATAGACACAGGCTGAGTGGTGATTCTGCATATGTGCTGGTTAAACAAAGAATCCCACAGCAGGAAGGACTCTCCACTCACTCCACACACAAGTTCCTGTTCAACACACTGCTACACAGCACCAGGGTTGTTCCTAGGGACCATGCCTAAAAACCCACAAAGACATCGGACTTCATTCTGAACACCCATGGCCATGTATAATGTTGACTTCTTTTTGTGGTCTATAAAAATGGGGTGTATTGTCTACCCCACAGTAATAGTGACAGTGAGAAAATGAGCTTCTGTGGCCTAGAGACTTGGAAGAGACATTCAGCTTCATGGATGTCGTTTTTCATTCTTAGATGAGGATAACTGTTCCTTAGGTGGTGGCATTTGAGCATTTGTAATTCAAGAAAACTAACTTCTTTAAGCTCATACTTTATTACTTGAGACATGAGAGCTTCATTTAAGGTTCTCATTTTAAAACATGGTGGGTGCTTCCATTTATTTCATTTGAACTGGAGATACTATCATACTTAGGTGACTTCCCTAAGTTCTCCATATTCAAATCCCTTTTTATCTTCATTTCAATGCATGTTTTCTAATCTATCATGATGAAGAGTGTGAACATTGTGCTTCACCAAACCAGGAAACAATTAAAAAACAAAAAGCTAGAATGGCAAGCCATAAGTTACACATAAGTAACTGCATACAAGGTGTAACCCATCTCAATGTGGCATATCAGGGTGATGGAGACTGGAGAGATGAGGTTTAAAACAGGCAGCCGGGCGCGGTGGCTCACGCCTGTAATCCCAGCACTTTGGGAGGCCGAGATGGGCAGATCACGAGGTCAGGAGATCAAGACCATCCTGGCTAACACGGTGAAACCCCGTCTCTACTAAAAAATACAAAAAACTAGCCTGGCGAGGTGGCGGGCGCCTGTAGTCCCAGCCACTCGGGAGGCTGAGGCAGGAGAATGGCGTGAACCCGGGAGGCGGAGCTTGCAGTGAGCTGAGATCTGGCCACTGCACTCCAGCCTGGGCGACAGAGCGAGACTCTGTCTTAAAAAAAAAAAAAAAAAAAGAAAACAGGCACTAAACTCAAAGCTGTGCTAAATGATGTCACAGGCACAGATGTCATCGTGTGGGGCTCCAAGTTCCCAAACAACCTCTCTGACAGCACAAAAAATATGATTTCCCATAATAAAGTAAGCTACCAGGTTTCAGAGTGGCAGTCCTGGACACTACAATTTTCAAAAAACTATCATTGCAAACAAGCCAAATTCTTAGACCTCTTCATGAGGCAAGTACCCAACACTCTTTCTCCATCCACACTTTAGAGTGATTGGAAGTTAGAGTTCAATGGATGGATGGCTCATATATTTGAAATCACGATTTCATGTTCACTTTATTCGGTCTCTCTGAAGCCTTAAATCTAGGTCAGGGAAGCATTCATGTAACTCATTACAATTATGCTTCCTCCTCAATGGATTTCTAGGACCATCAGTTTTTTGTTTTTTTTGTTTTTTTTTTTTTTTTTTTGAGATGCAGTCTCGCTCTGTCACCCAGGCTGGAGTGCAGTGGTGCGATCTTGGCTCACTGCAAGCTCTGCCTCCGGAGTTCACGCCATTCTCCTGCCTCAGCCTCCCAAGTAGCTGGGACTACAGACATCCGCCACCACGCCCAGCTAATTTTTTGTATTTTTAGTAGAGACAGGGTTTCACCGTGTTAGCCAGGATGGTCTTGATCTCCTGACCTCATGATCCACCCATGCCGGCCTGCCAAAGTGCTGGGATTACAGGCGTGAGCCACCACACCCGGCCAGGACCATCATTTTAAAAATTGCTTCAACATACGTAAAATAGGGATTTCAGTACTCCAGTAAAAGCTCTCCATTTTTAATAGTTAGCATTCCATGGAGGGCAGGTGTTTGCATACCTACCACCAAAATATGAGGAAGCCAAACAGCTGAAGATAGAGGTTGATATAACCAGTCTCTCAGAAAGAAACATTTAGTAGGGGTTTATGAAGAGATGTTAGAGTCACACATAGGACTTGTATACCATGGGGAAGGAATGTGTAGGAAAGCTGAAGTCTACCTGTCAGGGAAAGGCAGAAACACCATGTGAACCTAAGCACAGGATTCATAGTTGTGGTGGTTCTGACCTAAGGGCAGGATTGACAGAAAAATCATAATTTTCACAAGGAACAGTAGATGCAATAGAAATCTTATCCCCTAGTGTGCATATAAAGAAAAAAATATATACAGAAAGCTTAGAGGCAGTCCCAGAACTGGGGAAAATCAGAAGTCAACATGGTGAGTTAGCTTTCAAGATTGAGTTGCTTTTGCCTCCACGGCTAGGTAGAGGGTAAATGGAGTTGGTCAGCTGATGTGAAAGTGTAAGTCTGTTTCCTCAGTAATCTATCGTAGTAGAGAAGATGAGGCACCCCTGTTTCCAAATAGTCCTTGGCAGTCAGAGAGAAAAGTGCCACATTCCCTTCCTCCTGTGATACACACGGAACTGAGTACAGGTCCGGCTGATCCATGCATGCAAGAGCAATGACGAGGAGGACATGCAGGGTGAAAGGAAAGTGACTTTATTTTCCAAATCCAGCAGTGGGGAAATGACTGGATTATACCTCTATATACCAGTTCAAAGTTTGGGCTGAGGGCAGAGGTTTAAAGAAAGGGAAGCATGACATGGGAGGCGTGCAGGAGTCGTGCAGATTCAGGGAGTCTGTGTCTTACTCCAATGTGCATCTTGAGCTGTGGTCCACCTGGAGCCACAGACTGATACCATCTCGATAGTGCCAGGTCATAGATACCCATCCTGAGGCAGTCTTCAAGAGAGAGACAATTCCACAGCTGGGCCTTTATGTTTGGTTCGTTTTAAATTAGCCTCTGGTATTTTTTTGACAGGCATATAGTTAGATAATTATGCATGGTGTGAGTTTAGTCAGCTAGGTAAATGTGTATAAGGCATGGACGTGTACAGTGGGAAACTGAAGGGGGTGTGGTTCCAAAGTATATTTCAAGGTTCTACTTGAAGACTAAGGCAATAGTTTCTGCAGTTTGCTTCAAGGTTACATCTCGAGACTGGGAAGAAAATAAAGAGAAAGAAAACACTTAAATGTATTTTGAAGCTAAACGACTCGATTATAATCCTTCGCCATAAAAGTCCATTCCATTTCCATGGAAAGTGGGCAACAGCAATCCATCTAGCTTCTTCCTACTGAGAAGGGGCACAGTTAGAGAGTATCAGATTGGAATCTGTTTACCTGGAGTTGGAAATATTCGTAGGTTCCCAGACTAATATGAGAATGTGTTGGAGCGTTATAGTGTGGGGACACAAAAGTTTCTGAAAAAGTTTTTCCTGCATCTCCATACAGTTATTGAAAAGCAACAAAAACTGCAGCAACCAAACAGAACAGGGAGTAGAATACCAACTATACCATATATGAGAGTCTTCCATGGACCGGGAAGTCGACCAAACCATGACATTGTGGGATCCTGGTAGAGGATATTTATAGCAGAAATACGAGTATTCAGTGCATGCATAGCTTGGGTTATATCATGAGAATAATCTGGTGTGTATACGCACCATTCATTCTTAATGCACAAGCGACACACTGGGCTGCAGTTAGGATATCTAAGGCCAAAGGGTTCTGTAGAGTCACTTGTCTAATCTGCAAGTTTTTTCAGTGAGAAGGGTAATGTAGGGTTAGGTGTCATGACAGGCAGCAGCTCTATACTTAGGATCTCTACTTATAATTCTACATCTACGTTTGCTGTCCGGGAGGAAAAGATGGCTAGTGAGTAGAACCAACAGGGTGCCCATTTTTGATGGTGTTGTCTGGCCTTCACATTTACCCAGTTGTCAGAGAGTCCAGATGGGACAGGATGTGTCCTGGTAGGGAAGGGCACCCCCAGGTGTACCTGCCGGTCCAGTGGTAAGGTAAGTAATACCAACTGTGACTGCCTCAGACCCACAGCTAACTCCAGGAGAAAGGATAGGCTCCACCATGTAGCTTGACACTATTTTGCCATCCTAGCCACGTATTATTAGTTAGTTGATGGGTTTAGCCACGTTGCTAAGAGGTAACCATCCCTTAGCCTGGCTGCTAGTGTGGGGTGTGTTGCTCTTGTGTTTTGGGATGCATAGAGGTGCATGACCCGTTGCCTGAATTTGCACCATCATCAGTCATCCTATGTTGTCATGTACAGCATAGTCTATAGAGGGGGTGACATTAACCTGCTTATGAGCCGGATGGAAGATATGTTTCCAGGTTTCCCCTAACGTGGAACACTCATGGTGAGTGGTACTATAATCATAGATGGGAAATGGGTGAGAATTTTTACTCTTTTCCTACGTATAAACATAACTCCACGTGCTCGAGGTAGTAGCTTGGATGTGCTTGGTTGTGCAATGGCAAGTCAGCAGGGG